AATTCTCATGTATTGACTTGATCTTTGGGGTTCATTATACTTTTATAACTTAGTTGGTTTTTGGTTGGATTGGACTTGGTGGGTGGATGTCCTATGTGCTGCTTTAGTATTACATAAAGTCATAAACTTTAATCCTTATAGGTACGGTAGTAATTTTATTACAGTGTGATTTTAATGCTATTATATAGTCTACATATCGCAACACTATGCTAAGAGAGATTTGATTTGTGTTTGAAACTTAGGACCAACCTGATGCATATAAATAAAATATTATGAGGACTTGTTGTTGGCTCGCTCTTTGTACGAGGAAATTCTCTTTAAAATACTTTCTGGGTGAATGAGTGGCTTTTATGGTATAAATTATTGGCTTGATTCCTTTGTTATATTTTCAATTTTGATAGTTTGTTAGTTGTTTGTTACTTTGGTCAATCACTGTATAAGCTTGTAAACTACTATAGCAGTTAAGCAAGGACTGGTCCCAGAGATATTCTCAAGCTATCACTCAACAAGTTCTCAAGAATTGTGCTATGTCTTGCTATAGCAATTTTAGTCTTGAGAGGAAATGACTTTAGATTGAGAAAACAGTCGAGATATGAATATTAGTAGTTCATTATGAAGAGATGAAAAAAATGTAATAGATAAGTTCTATGTAACTACTGCTGCTTCAAGTTGCTAAGTTCTTGGATCCTCATAAGTATCCCCGGAAGGAATGGCTTGAGATTTTGGATGCGAATGCAACCATACTTGAATAAGAGTTGGATGAAGTCACAACATTTTCTCTAACTAAATATGTGGTTAGATAATTAAAAGTAATAATTGACTGGCAATAAAGATGATGAATGCGAAAAAGCTTTTCATCAGCTTAATGGAGGCTATATTTAATTTATTGCATAACATCTTACGTTATCAATCTGGGAAAAGGATACACATACAATGGTTGTATGTGGGCCATCCACATACAACCATTGTTGACAGTATTTAATTGGTTTGCATTTTGGGCCCCACCTTTTCCCCTCTATTTTTCCCTTTTTTTTTTTTACTCCCTTTTGACATGGCATACATACAATGGTATTGTATGTGGTAGCCCACATACAACAATTGTATGTGTAGCATCAATCTGTCATAGGAAGCTTAAAATTACTCCGTACTTAAAAATAATTTGCAATAACTATTCCCATAAACAATAATTGTAACTCTTTTCAAATTCCGTGCATTCATTTCCTATAATCAATTCAATTCTAATTAAAACCAAGCTCAAGAATTTCAAGAATTTGTAACTTTTTTTTTTTTTAGGAAACTGATAGTTCTTTTATAATTCCAACAATTTATATACTTGGCTTTCCTATTTCTCCTTCATCTTAGGGCATATTTACTTACTCATTCAGTTCAGTTCAGTTCAGCTCCAATCAGTTTAGTTCAGTTCAGTTTAGTTCAGCTCCTAATTTCCCTTACTCATAAAATATTCATTTCGCTTAGTTCAGTTTAGTACAAATCCAATCAGTTCAGTTCAGTTCAGTTCAACTCCAATCAATTTTGTTCAGTTCAGTTCAGTTCAGTAAATGTGAACATGCCCTTAATGTCTCCTTCACCTTTAAAAAAAAAGGTTAGTATTGTTCAATGCATTATTTCACAGGGCGACTAGCAAGAATTTGAAGTAATAACTACCACCTTGGCAACCAAGCTAATGTACTTTTAGATTGCATCAACAACATCCCTAACTAGACTTTGGGTTCCAAAGTGGGCTATCAAAGCCATTTCCTTTTCCTAGACTCTACTAAAACAACTTAGCAACAACATGAATAAGTACACAGTGTTTCTTCATACAAGAACACTGCCACATACAACATAATATGCTCAATGTTTGGTTGTAATTGTTGCTTTTGAACCTTTTGTTTGTAACATTTTCAAGGTTATGGTTTAAGAATAGTATGCGTTAGGTTAGATGCTTTAGTTGTTCCAATAAATCTTAAAACTATGGCCTAAATTCGTAAGGCTTTATTAAAAAAAAAACAATTATTTTAAACACATAATGTAAAACAGTAATCGTCCACAACTGAAGTAATCGTTGTTCCACCCAAACACTGCCAAGTTTTAGCTACACTTGTGATAATTACGATGTGCTAAATGGATATTGCCATTCCTAAACACAAGCTGAAAAAAGCTAACTCAAAATGGCTAGCCATTCCGCGCGCAACGCGAGTGTTGGCTGCCCTAGTAGATGTAAATTTACTTTAAAACATCCCTTAATTTTTTTTAAATATCTCTAGCTAATATTTTATTTCAATTTCAATTCAATATAACAATATATTCAAGTTAATTACAATTTTGTTTATGAAATTTTACTACTATAACTACATTTCATCACAAATTAAGGATTTATAGGGTATAGTATAGCTATAAAATAAATGTTGTGTTTGTCAAATGGCTTTTTAGATATAAAGGTGACATATTATTTGTAGTTTTGTGTATGTTTTCACTTTTGCTAATAGTTTTAGTGGAGATATTAATTTGTTGTTTGATTGATTTTTGATGTTTATTAAAAATACATTTATAATTAAGTATTCACTAATATGACCACTAGACCTGATCATACTAAGTCCCGTCTGAAAAATTCTCAAGTTTCGGCGGCTTAAAAAATTCATTTTTTTAGATAATTTGTTGCTTTGCCTATTAATATACATTATGACATTATAATTTCTATATATTTGATTTGTATGTTTTATCAAATTTTATTTGTTGAATATAATTATTTTTCTTAAAAAAATTAGACTTACCGTGCATGACACGGGCAATAAGCTAGTATATAAATATAATTTTCTTCCCGTGAATATCTGAGCGTTGGTAGGGCAAAGAACTAGTTTTCAAAATATTTTTTAAACGTAAGGTAATATTTTCAAAATATTTTTTAAACTTAAAGTATAATTTTCAAAATATCATTCAAACTTAATGTAATTTCAATATTCGGGGTATTGTTCGAGCCACAAACTAGATTTGTTGAAAATGACCATAATTCAAGACATAACACAGTAGAGTTTTTTTTATAGAAAAGTTACAAGTACTTTAATTGATACACAATAATAGAAGTTTTTTTTTAAAAAAAAAAAAAAAAAGAAAAGCAAATCTACGAGTACTAATCTATATCACGTTATTATTATTATTAAACATAAAGGGACAACATGATATCGCTATGTGTCACCGTTACCTCAATGTGATTTGGCGCCACATCAGCATTACGTGTCACCCTATGTATCATCATTCAAGACTCTTCATATTTGTAACTTTCGTATTTAATTTTCTGGTAAATTGTAACTTCTAAATAATTGCACATACATTAAATTACAATTTAATTTGTAAGAAATCAATCACATACTAATGGTTATCTCCTTGGATGCTATTTTTTTAGATTCAATACACAGTTAAGCAATTATGCATAGTAATATTTACAAGTATACAATTGCATTCCTCTTTCTATTTACATATATTTTTTATTTCTATTTTTAAAAATTATACTAAAGGTAGTATTTTCAAAATATTTTTTAAACTTAAGGTAATATTTTCAAAATATCATTCAAACTGAATGTAATTTCAATATGAATCGTGCGAGCCACAAACTAGTTTACCTAAGGAAAAATTGCGGAAAATAATACAACCTTTAGGCGGTTCTTTTTTAATAATACAACCTTTTGATTAAGTCTTAATAATATAACCTTTGGGGGGTGTTGATTTTAAATAAGACATAACCGGATGCAACTGGATAAACAAGTTACCACTGCCACATGTCATTATATGATTGGCTTAAATAATTTTTTTTATTTTTATTTTCTTTCCCCTTCCCTAAACACTAATAAACCACCATTGCTCCACCCTCTCTTTCCAACCCCACCACCACTGTACCACTGCCAACCCCTTTGCCAATCCCCACAACCAGAATCGACCCTTCCCTTTCCCGACCACCCCGTTGCCAACCCCCACAACAAGGCCAAAACTCCCACGTAACCCCCCATTACACAGTTCGCGACCACCCCAGCCACCATTCCTACTTTCCCAACCACCACAGCCAATCACTCCACCTTTCTTGACCACCACAGCCCCCATTCCACCTTTCCTGACCACCGCAACCAACCAAGATCACCAAAAACTCCCACACAGCACACCGACCTCACGAACCCAGCAATCATTGCTACTCCACCCCTCTTCTCGCACCCGCATCACCAAGTCCCCAATTACGCACCAAATTACAACCAACGCCACCAATTACCCCCAATTATCGCCAATTAGCCATCCCCATTCAGCAATTTGCCACCAATTTTAAACATTTTAACCCTCCGCCATTGATTTGTTGAGATTTGTGATTGATGGTGATGTCGGGGCGCGAGCATGATGTGTGAAGAAGAGAGTAGGTTCGAGGATGGTGCTGGTGGTTGGAGATTAAGGATGGGCGAGCAGGTAGCTAGGCTCGGGGTGGGGGAGGTGGGCTTGTCACCGGCGGCTAGCGGGGGAGGGGGCTGGACAGGCAGGGGGGTTTTATTATAACTTTTTGTAAATTAATTTTTTTTTATAAAAAAATTCAAATTTTAATGTTTAGACAAATTACATAACGACACATGTCAAAAGTGACTTGTTTACCAGGTTACAAGTTTTTTGTCTTGTTTAAAATCAACACTCCCAAAGGTTATATTATTAAGACTTAATCGAAAGGTTGTATTATTAAAAAAGAACCGCCTAAACGTTGTATTATTTTCCGCAATTTTTCCTTTACCTAAACCTAAACCATTTTATTAGGAACCCAAAAACATTTATCTTAGCCAAATCCCTTTAATCTTAATTTTAACCCAATAACGTAAATTGATAATAGTTATCCCTAGTCCTAATCAAGCTCTAATTTCTTTTCCTTAGTTATTAGTTGTAAGTAAAAAAAGCCGAAAAGCCATATAAGTTTCTCTTGTTATCGAATCAAAGGCACATAAACAAGATAAAGGAAACCTTAATTTTCTGTCGGTATGGAGAAGTTTCCAGTAGAAGATGAACAATTCTCTGTTGGATCAGCTGTTGTGGAGAAGATTTCGGTAGAAGGGCAACGCAACGTGTTGGTGACGAGTGCGCTCCCTTACGTGAACAACGTACCTCATTTAGGAAACATTGTAGGTTTAGTCCTAAGCGCTAGGGGTGTTCAAAAATATCCGGTCCGAAATATCCGATCCGAAAATCCGATTTGAAATTTCGGATATCCGATCCGGTTTTTAAGGTTTCGGATATTTCGGATCGGATATCCGAAAAAAATATCGGATTTTCGGATCGGATACGGATCGGATTTTGTCCGAAAATTTTAACTACCCGATCCGAAAATCCGACTATCCGATCCAAATATCCGACTATCCGATCCGAAAATCCGAATATCCGAAAATTTCGGATCGGATTCGGATCGCAATTTCTCCGATCCGAAAATTTCGGATATCCGAATTTTCGGATCGGATCGAATCGGATATCCGAAATTGAACAGCCATATTGAGCGCTAATATATTTGCTAGGTTTTGTCGTCTTAGGGGCTACAACGTCCTCTTCATCGGCGGTTACGATAAGTATGGTACAACCAGTGAGGTTCGGGCTGCTTCCGAGAATCTCACACCCCGCGAGATCCGCGGCAAGTACCATCCCTTACATAAGGAGATTTATCAGTGGTTCGACATTAGCTTTGGTCATTTTGGCCGAACATCTTCCTCAGAACACACTGCCGTTTCTCAGCAGATCCTCAATTCACTCTTTCATAATAATCTCTTGATGGACCATACAATTCAACAAGTACTTTCTATTGATTTCAAATTTTATATTTAGACACGACTTTTGAATACTCTGCTCATTCGGTTTTTGTTTTTTTTTTCCAGTTGTATTGTGAAAATTGCTTAAAATTCTTGGCGGATAGTCTAGTTGAAGGTCTATGTCCTGAGTGTCGTGTGTCTTGTAAAGGCGATCAATGTGAGGAATGCAATGCATATTTCAATGCTCGAGATTTATTAAACCCTGTATGCAAGATATGTCAGAATTCCAGCTTGACACTCCGTTCCACAGACCATCTGTTTTTAAACCTAGGTTCTCTGCAACCCAACCTGCGTGCCCTTTCTGAAAGATTTACCTTTTCAAATCAACTGGCGAAGAAAATTACTGAGAAACTTGTCGGTAAAGAAAACAAAATCCCTCCGAAGTGCATTACTCGTGATCTTAAATGGGGAGTTCCCGTTCCTATTGAAAAATTTAAAGACAAGGTGAATATTTCAAGTTTGTTTACTTGAACACCCTAGCTTTGGTAGGAGAAGTATCGGCGTATAAGGCTTATGTACCTATATAACAAATAAGATGGTATTTTTGTAAATAATGGAAACATGAGAAAAAGCGGTGGTACAAAATTTGATGGCCTGCATGTAAAATACATAGGCCGTATGCGCCTGGATACACTTAGCTTTGGTATGGTTTCTGATTGACTGTTCCTTGTTTCTTGTACCAGGTGATGTATGTGTGGTTTGATGCTCCTCTTGGTTATTTGTCTATCACAAAGTGTCACACATCTAAGTGGGAATTGTGGTGGAAAAATCCACATAATGTGGAGCTACACCTTTTCATGGGAAAAGACAATGTTCCTTTTTATTCGGTGATTGTTTTGTTTTTACACTCCTTTTCTTCTTTTATTATGCATTCCCAGTGATCTTTTCGCGCTAATAATTGCTTAAGTTGTCACCCTTGATTCAGGTTCATTTCCCTCCATACTTGATTGGCACCGGGGAAAGTTGGACCCTTCCTCATTCAATACATGCTACTCATTTTCTGTTATACAAAGCAGGTAGCTACTCGGCTTTTGCAAGCGTCATTTGCCATCTATATACCCTACAATTATATTCAGAACCAATTATCTATTATTGTTTTCTTACAAATGCTTTTTCCAGGAAAATTTTCCAAGATCAGGGGTATTGGTGTTTTTGGTGATGAAGTGAAAGACACGAATATACCTGTAGAAGTATATAGATTAATTTGACGAATATACCCTGTCTTTTATTTCCTTGCCCCCCTCCCCCTGAAACTCTGCATTCAGGCTTGGACATGTGTCAGTAAATACTTGTTAGAACTTCCTATCATTTTCTAATTATACTACTGATATATTACATTTTCAGTCATCCGACTCAAATTTTTCTTGGGACGATTTGCAAGTAAAACTTAATGGCGAGCTTGCTGATAATTTGGGCAATTTCATGAATCGTGTCATCTCTTTTATCGCCAAACCCCCCTGGTAAATCTCTCTGTTGTTCATGCTATATGTGTTTATACAACATATATTCATTGGAAAAGATATTCTAATGATGAAGTTAGAACTGTAGAAGTGAAAATACAAGTCTGAGGCATTTAAAACAATGATGATATCCTTTTCTTTCTCTTTCCCTGAACATAAGAATGATAGTTCTTGTTCATTTGTTTTATTTTGATTTTTCCTTTTCTTGTTCTGTACACATCAGACATTAGACTTATCTGACCTTGTTGTGCAAGTGATGGGACATTATTATAATTATGGGGTGATTAATGTGACTATTGTCTTATTCAAACTGCCAATTAGGATTAATTAGTAGCTTCTATAAGTATCTAAAAGATCTTAATTATTCATTTTTGAAAAGATAAGATTAAAGAGTTTGAAATTGAATAAAACTCCTTTTTTTTAAAGTCCTAATTTTATCCGAATTAAAAGACATTCAAAGATAGACAGATATGAATTCTTTCCTCATAGTTTTTATCTAAATTTTATATGGTTGGCTATCCCTTGAAATTATCTTTCCATGATATATTATAATATCAATTCCGAGCTAGAACGGAAAAGATATTAATAAAATGTCAAACTCTATTCAAAACTGACACCATATCACTATTTCGGCTATATATTTTGTTATACAAAATATTTTAATCTGAGTTTAATTGGGTTAGAAATTAGACTTCAAGAGCTTTCCAACTACATCTTATTCATCTTATTCCGATTTTTGGATCAAAAGATATGATAAAAACAAAACCCGTAAAAACTAGTGTCTATCGAGTTTTATTCCGATTTAATTCGGATCTTAACTTAATTCTTCGACCCTTCTTTTTTTCTCTATAAATAGAGGTCATATCACCCCTTTTTCAATCATCAACAAGCTTGATCACCAAATCATTCTCTTCACCCTCTTTAGCCTAAACACTAGCCATCCTATTTTCTCATAATACTTCCCCTAATTAAGCACTCCAAGTAGTTCATACAATACCCAAAATTCTATACTTAAACCAAGGCGTGAAAGGTATAATTGAGTGAGGGTTTGTACAAAATCAACTCTACTTTTAATTTTATTTAATTTCCATTTTATTTACATTTTTGCTAAAGTTACTAACAGTTTATTCATGATGTAGCAATTCAAGGAAACGCAGAAAGTGAGTAATTAATCACTTAATTACTTGTATTTTTATTCTTGTTGCTAGTATCATGATTAGGGTTATTATTATTATTTAATTTTACTAACAATTTATGGTTAAATTGCTTCCAATGTTAATGTTTATTTTATTATATTTATTGATCACCATATTGCATGTTTAAAGGGAATATGTAATTGAAAATCACGCCTAATAAGATCATTTGGACAACCGGTTTTTAGGTTCCTTTTTAATCTTGTTATTAATTTAAGTGACCACTAATATTTTAGATTTATGTGTTGCATTAATATTCAATCAATTTAGCTAATAATAGTTTGGAGCAAATTGAATATTTTGTTTGTATGCCTTTGAGATCGCAGGAATGCTTTTCACTATAAGAATCGAGTAGAGGCCAATACGAGCGAATGTGACTCCATGACTCACTTCGTACCATCATCCCCGATCCTCCTTTTGTGGTTCCGAACCATATGGAGTTAGTAATCTCATGGATTATGAATGGGGTGTAACCTTCACGGGTCAATCGTTGTTGCCTTCGTTGTCCCTTATTCGTGGTTGCCTTAAATGATCCGTGAACGGTTTACAAGTTCCTTAAAAACTTGTTGGCGGCTCCCTACTTTTCTTGTCCCTAATCGTATATGTCAATTCCTACTTCCTAAGAGTGCCAAGCATATGCACAACATCCTTAACGTAGGCGCACTTCGAAGGACTCCTACAATTTGGCGACTCCAGTGGGGAGGATTCTTTGTTATTTATCGATTTGAGTGATCGGTATTTAATTGAGATGAGTGGATGAGACTTGAAAGATTCATGAGTTGTATTCCTGCGATTTAATTGGCATTGTCACATATGCATATGCATTTTAGGTCACCTATTTTGCCAAAATAGTACGTGTTCTACGTATGTGGCTAGCCCGGGGGATTTAAGCTCTATCAACCCGAAAACGTTCATGACAATAAGGGTTCATCCGAGTTTTTAAATCCACCCAAACCATGGAGTCGAGTTCGATTTCATCACGAACTCGCGGAGCCGCCCGTTGGCATACACCCTCAAGGGAGGCTGCCTTGCTAACGTGTCCAAACTCTTAACCATGGTACCCTTTGACACCCAAAAGCTTGACCATAGTGGAACATAGATCTTGACTCTAGGTTGCGAACTTCATTGCATCATTCGTGACGATGTGCTTATATGTGCATTTTTTTATTGATTTTTTTTTTATTTATTTTTTTATTAAACCCTTTTTATTTATTTTTTTATTTATTTAGAGTCGAGTCATAGATTTTTTTTAATTTTTGAGTCACCCGGATTTTTATTCCCGTATACTGCACAGGAGTCAAATAGTTTTGGTTATATCCGGAGTTCTATAAAGATTTACGTGGCGTACAACCTATGGATCTGTAGCCCCGAGTTTTATCTTTCATTTGGAGCTGGTTTCGTCCTAACTAGAATCACAGATCAAAAGTTATAACCGATATACTACAACCTGTCCAGTTTAGGTGTCTTTTTAACGTTACCTTTTTTATTTTATTTTATTTTTTTAAAAAAAAAAATCATGTCAAGCTAGTCTTAGCCAAGTCCTTTAATCCGTGTCAACTCGTATAACATAGGACTATAGTTTTTTTTTTAATTTTTTTTTATACCCATGAGTCATAACTCTCTAGAATTCTAGTCCTCTTCCTAGTTTCTTGTGATCGATTTTTGTGTTAACCTTAACATGTGTTTATTGTCTTTGATTGTGGTTGATCCCATTAAAATTGGACAAAATTAATCAAGTTAGTTTGTCTTTTAGTCTTCCATGATATTTGGTCATTGGGTCCTTTGTTTTTCACAACGTCCTCATGTCTAGCCATGCGGTCATACCACGAGTCTTAATAAACTCAACTAATCACACATGTTGAGTCATTGCACACACTTTGTCTTCGAGTAATGCACTATATTGTTTATGATCGTATACCAGGACCATGCATGCATCGCTTTCCGTCGTAATAGGAATGAGTGGAGTATTTCCCATCAGTTTTCAAAATTGTTTCATACACTCTTCCATTCCAATTCGAGTATTGAGTGAATGCATTAAGTGAGTTCATCCTTACACAATACTTGACTCTAAAATCACTAGGCAATAGTTGGAAGAATAAGGGAAACATCACTCCTTCCTTCTTTCCTTCCAATCAAAACATCAACAACAAGAAACTTTTTTCCTCACCAGGCGGCAAGAAGTAACTCATAAACAATCATGAAGACAAAGCACGATGCAAGTTTCATGTTTTCTTCTTCTTTTGTTTCAAACCCTCCCCTTAAAAAGTCTAGCATAGGCTCTCCTTATCCATGTGTCTATGTGTCACATTTCTTACCTTCTTCATAAATGAGCATCTCTTTCTTACATTCGATCACGTAATTAGCAAAAATAAAAAAATTTGCCGAACTAAATACAAGATACACCAATGACTTGAGGCACCTTTGGAACCCTGTCATTTCCTATTAACCATTTAATCACATATCCATTTCTTCGTCAACCACTTTGAGCCTCGTCTAACGATTGACCTTATTTATTCAACCCACATTCACTTAACCCTGGGATGGGAAGATGTGCAATTTGTGTAACAATCAGAAAGCATGTTCAAATTAAAAAAAAAAGGGAAAAGAATAAGTAAATTAAAAAAAAAAAATAATGTCTAAAGGCAAGTGTTCCAATGTCTCCGATATGAACATGTCTCAAATTGCGTCTCTCATCAAGTGCTTGGTACCGTGCCTGAGAAACATGAATGCTAAGTGAGTGATGGACCGCATGATCTGAGATTGCCTACATTGATTCACAAGAATGGAAAAGAGAAAAAAAAAAAAGAAATTCAAAAAAAAATATCAGAAAAATAAAACTTGCAAAGTCTAATACATAATTGCATATCTTGGGTGCTTCTCTCGGGTCTTGAGCCTTTTACCCCTTTCTTCTTTAAACCTTCAGCTTATCCACATTACAACCCTTGAAAGACCTCTTTGAGGTGTACACACACTTGTTCAAAGTTCGGTTAGAGCTACGTTGGCCTGATTCCAAACGGATACATAGGCAACCTCACATCGAGGTGCGGCCACATTCATATTCATATCCATGCATGATCGAGTCAAAGAATATCCAATGCTTACCCCTACTCATATACAGCTAGACTTGGGGGCTTGAACCCACATCATTTAGCCTACCTAGCCTAAAGAGTCATCATCTTTGACTCTTCTCACATCTCTTTCCATCGCCATAACCCTTGCAGCCAGCCTTAGTATCACATTCACACACTTCACTCACACATCCATATCCATATCATCCTTCTCTTTAGGAACCCTTTATCATGAAATCTTGTTTCTCTACTATGCATGTTTCATCATATTTAAAGACAACATTCATTAGAAGAAATATTGTATACTTGCTTAGCTTCCTGACCTGAGCAATATTGATGCATCGCATAATGTGCTGAGAAACATTTATATATCGATGATTTTTAATCATACAAAGCATATCGTGCTTAGCTTCTTGACCTAAGCAACGTTAATTATGCAATAATCACTTCATCTGTATACGTGCTTAGCTTCCAGACCTAAGTGACGTTCAAGATTGTTTCTTTACACCATAAATGATGCTTAGCTCCATGATCTAAGTTCATTCATCGTGTCACATGATGTAATTGTCCTTAGCCTCCTGGCCTAAGGACATGTATCATGCATAAATTACTTTCAAGAAAAGCAATCCAATCCATGCGATTCATTTTGTCTTGCTCAACGAGGAAGTTCAAAACTTCTTTCCTTTTTTCTGCGTCTTTTCTTTTGGGGAAGTTTAAAAAAACTTTTTCAAAATTTTCTCATC